TATGAGAAATGCTAAACCCAATTGCCATTCCACCACATTCAAACAAGTTGACTTGAACAAGAAGCAACGTGCCTGTGCCCGCTTCTCTGGACTCGGGTTCAACTGGTAGGAATCGTCTTAACATCTCGGCATCTGGGTGTTCGAAAATCTCCGATAAGGAACACTTGACTCGGGCTTCCACAAACTCAGCTCCATCATCGTTACATTCAATCACGGCACCACCTTTGATTCTTCCTGCCAAAGGGTAGAAGTGAGTGAGAGTTTTAGCTAAGGATTGCATTAGATGCTGACATCTTTCATTGGTGGCCAAGACATTGTTGCTAGTAGCATCAGCAGCATTGGGATAGAAAAGAAGGATTGGGATGTAGGTTTGAACGGCCATCTGATCCAAAATAGAGAGCTTATAATTTCTAAGGTGATGAGGAGTTGGGGAGGATGGTTTAACTGTTTGCCTCTGGATGATTTCAACCTTGATTTCTGTGGCCATTTTGCTCAACCTTGATTCCAAGTTTTGCAAGCACAAATTGTGAATTGGAACAATGGGGCTGGTCTACCTTATAATGGATCGGGTTCTACATTGAATTGAATATAACTAGAACTACTTTGTAGGCAAAAGCCCCACTACTGGCTGCCTCTTAAAGATTTCAACCTTGATGCTCTGTGGCCGTATCTTGATAGTAGATTCTGTAAAGTGTGGAAAATAATGTCATGAATATTAGCCCGCGGCATGGCCTGCCTTAAACATTGAAGAACTACCTACTTTTGTGGAATTTTGTAGTTTATTATCCAATTGTACTGGGATACAATTAAGTCAACTGGACAGTTGAGTTAATTTCTGGAGCAATTAGGCGGCTGTGCTATACAGGTAGCAGTCCCTAGCAGTTGCTTGGCTATTATGGCTAATCATTACCGAAAATCCATACGCTACCTTTTTTGACATTGTGAAAGGAAACTCTTGAGAGGGCTATGATACCTTTTTTTGGCATTGTGAAAAGGAAACTCTTAGGCTAATAGCTAGTTGGCCATTATCATTAATTGTATGTAGATACGTTTTACGCGCAATAAGATTAGGACATTGCTTGCCTCATCATTCATGTAAATTAATCACAGTTTTGATACATGCAAAATAATTAATTAAAAACACACACACAAAAAAAAAAAAAAA